CATGTTCACCATTATGATTAACTAGCAGTGATTTCACAAAAAAAAGCAGGAGAAGAACACCTCTACTTATGTGATCAGCAGTTTGTGTTTAAAACAGACTCCATCTTGGGACACACTCCTACAAGGCTACCCAAAGAACATAAACAACGGGTACTGCTCCAGGAACAACTCACACACATCCAACATCCCTTACTGTGACAAGCGGTTCTTCTGGGGGAGGGGACTAGGGCTGCCCTTCTACCGCTCTCAGCAATTACATCTTGGGACACACTCCTACAAGGCTACCCGAAGAACATAAACAACGGGCACTGCTCCAGGCACAACTCACATGAATCTAACATCCCTTACTGTGACAAGCAGTTCTTCTGGGGGAGGGGACTAGGGCTCCCCTTTTACCGCTCTCAGCAATTACCTTCACACCTCACTACCCAAATATAAGAGGGGGGGGGGAACAAAACAAAACTGCACATTGGATTGTCAATTGAAAAACAGGAACAGTACAGGATTAGTCTGTGAGTCAAAATTAGAACTATTAGTTCTGTTAAACTACGGTAGTGCTTTTTTTCCCCAATTTGAGTGAAATGTTTTCATACAGAATGTGTTTGCCTTATGCAACAGAGGCTTCAAGGAAAGTATACATGCTGATATTTAAGTGGCTCTACTAGATCCAAGTCCTCATATTTCAAAACCCCATGTTGAATCAATCGAAATTTCTCTTATTCTGCTGGAACTAAGTTTGAACTTATTCAAACGGGAAAACAATAGGTTGGGATCTGCTATGAAACTGCTGAGTGACTTGTGGCAGACTGGCAAGAGTGTCTGATTCTCAGCTGGTTTGACGACAAAATGACTTCTAAACGATGTTGCTGATTAGAAGAAAGCCTGAGGTAATCAGAAGTGTTTTTTCATATGGAAGAAATGTGAGATCCATCAAGTTCTTGTACTCAATTCACATTCCAAATCCTGTTTTCTGTATTTTTAAATATTAGGAAACTTCTTTTACACCACCACTTCAGTAAAATCTCTTTTCTTACTAGAGAGTTCTAGCAAACAATAGAGTAAACCTTCCACAAGCCAGAAGTCTGCCCAGCTGTCCTCTTTTCAAATTCAGACATAAACTGTTGCAAGACACCATTTTCAACTATAAAATAGATAAACTGACAAAGAAAATACAGAATAAAACAAAGACAGACAGAGATGTACAAGCTTCAGCCCACCAAACTCCACTACAAATAAATTACTAGCCTTCACAAATGTTTGCTTTTTGAATCATTTTCAAAGTCCCCAACACATACTGTGGGTCATTTAGGTCTAAAATGAAAGCTAATAATTATAATCTTTTCTTTCAAGTTCCCAGGTTTGAGTGCACAATGGAAATTCTTTCTTGTTACCAACAATCAGGGGAGTGATTATTTGCTAAGTCCTGAAACACCTTCAAGGAACTAGAGCTTACTGACCAACCCAGAAGTCAAATTAACTATACAGCAGGATACAAGTATGTATATGCACATAGTGTACACCTGGTGTACTCTGAGCATTGCCTCTTAGCACCTATCCAGCCCAGATTATCACAAGGGTCATTTGGGAGCAGAGAAGCTTGAGATCATGTCCTCCACTTCAACTCTCTGACCTCCACTTCCTTCTGCATTTGCCTTAGACTGATATTCTCAGGACCTGCTTATCAATCTCACTTCCCTCCTTTCCTGACTCTCCGAGGAGCAAATGTATGATTGCTCCTCTCCCAAGTACTTTCTTAGGCATGTGCCTGTCTGGTTAGAATGAGGGCTTAAAGGGCTCTTGAATGTAATAAAGGTTAGATGTTTGTTTTAACTGCTTCTACCACATTTACTGCAGAACTAACAGTCCATGTGTCTATGCACCAAGAGAAACTTTAACAGTCTCTCCCCCCCCTCATCTTGTGAACATTCACAACAGACACTGCAATCAAATCTACCTGCTATAACTTCTCACAGAAGTAGAACAAAGATTAGCCGGTGTGCTTGTTCCGGAAAATAAAGGCAATACAGGAGCAAATGAGATAAGATGCCAACTGTGTAATCAGCATTCAGCTTTAAAAAAAATTAAAGCACCAGCAGGTTGAGGACCTTGCTTTGGGGCTTTAGCTCTTTGCTCCAGCTCACACCCCTTTGCATACCAAGGACCCACTTCTTATATTTTATATGGAAGGGGCGGAATCCCAGTATCAGGCCCTTAAACGGAGAAGATATTAATGCAACTTCTAATGTCTACTTTCACCCACAGAATCTAACTAGACAGCAGCAACTTTTCTTTTACACTTCAAATGCCTGCACACTAACCATGTAGGCCAAGCCAAATCTAAGCAGAAATCCATTATCACACTGTGCACTGATCAGTTGAGAGGGAGTGTGCACATCCACATCTGTGTATCTTTATCTTCCCAAGTACACAATATTACACTAGAATTTTAAAACCATGGATGTGAAGAGTTCTCTTTTTCTTCCTTAAATTAATTACTCTCTCTAGTCATTTCAATCAGAATGAGGAGCGCTTCCTGTTCCGCAAGCAATTAACCTCCAAAGGATTCAGTTAAAGAGTGAAACCACGCTGTGCAAGAGGAAGCAAAGTGCTAACGCTCTGAAACACAGGTGTGGCAAGCAAGGAAACAGCACCATTAAAAACTTTAGAACAGTTTCGTTAGGAGTCCTTACTTTCCATATACACACAGACACCACCGGTGGTTTCCTTGCCAACATGATTTTAGGGACTTCAGCAGCTTAAACAACAAAATAGGAGCTTTTCTTAAGCATGCATCTCCAGCTAACTCATGATCTTGGAAGCTATTCATCAGATGTTCTCCAAGCAGTAAATATTATTAAAAAGCAGTTTGTATGTGTACTATAACATTTTAGATTTCTACATCACCTTTTAAACAAAATAAAATATTGAAGCAAGAAGCAGTTAAAAACTATAACCATCTGTTGCCTTTGTATGGTTCAGGGAAAGAAGAATATGGTAAATGGGGAGCTAACCCCACTTTACACATGCACGTTTTAACTGTGAGTCTCAGCACAAAGCATGATGTGGCAAAGCAAACACATAAGGTGCCAAAAGGATGTTGTCTTCTAATGAAATGTTCTGTGAATGATTTTTTTCCCCTGAAGATTTTTTTCCCTTTTAGAATTTCCCAGAGTTGGCCAAGACCACTCCCCAAGCAAAAACACGTATTAAGACTGAAGACACCAAATGAGCTTTCCCCTCAGCCCCTCATGAATCTCCCATTTCTTGTCCTCTGAAAGTGTCCCTACTGCCATGCCATACCTGAGCTGCCACAAGTTAGTAGCGGTTTGTTAGTTGATTTGTAGTGCCCGGGCGAGTTTAGTGCATTGCTACAGGACCCTGTGTCTGTATTCAAATTATGCACGTTTGGAGATGCCAGTGGACTGCAATACAGGGATTTCCACCTACTGGCTAAAGGATACAAGAAAATAAATACAAGAAAGCCATGAAACATTACCACATTGAATACAGATGCTGAAGGGAGGAGGCAGAGCAAGTCAATCCACCTATAGCTGACAGTTAAAAATATCCAAACTTTGAATATATTCAGATGGTTCTCTCCCTAGTTTAGTACTTCATTTCACAAGTATCAGGCTAGCAATGGATTGCTGTTGCCTGTTCTAACAACAGCCTCAATCAAGTGCACTTGAGGTAGCTGCATGTGTTTCATTTCAACAGGCTTTGCTGGCAACATACAGACAGATGAGATGAAAAGTTATCCAATACATAAGAAGTCTCCCTTCTGAAGAAAACACATAATTACTCACCTTTCAAGTAATTATGAAAGTGGAAACACACAGGTTTCTCATTTGGGCATTTCAGATGAGAAGCAAAGTTAAGCTCAGTTCAGGGCAGTCATGGTACCATTAATACTTATATTGGCAAAGCAATAAAAAAGCTTTGCACCACCCCGCTTAAGCAATACAAAACAGAATAAAACAATAGGTAACTGCAGTAAGAAATATCACATACAAGGCTACTGCAGCAAAAGGTTGGACCAGGTATAGGCACAGTGGTACCTCAAGCTGTACAAGTCATGTTAATTGCATAAAATTCTGAAAGGGGGGGGGAATGACAACTTCACTAGGCTACTCATTAAAATGGAAAGCAAGCAAGCTTTGGAATCCAGCAGGACCTTTCTTCAGGCTAGGCAATGCAGAGCTTGAGGAAGGCGGGAGAGGACAGAAAGCAAAAGGTTGGACCAGGTATAGGCACAGAGGTACCTCAAGCTGTACAAGTTATGTTCCTTGTACAAAATTCTGAAAAGGGGGGGGGAGAGGACAACTTTTCTAGGCTACTCATTAAAAAATGGAAAGCAAGCAAGCTTTTGAATCCAGCAGGACCTTTCTTCAGGCGAGGCAATGCAGAGCTTAAGGTGGGAGAGGACAGAAAGAAAGAAATTCAAAAACTATGCTGCCCACACTTTGAACTGATGCAATGAATCTCAAGTCTCAATCTTGTGGACATTACTTTAATATGGGTCCTGATGCTTCATCAAACAGCTTTTGAGCTTTTTTCCCCCTTGAGCCCTCAAGCTTCTACAAGGGTCTGCTGGGTTCAAGAGCTCATCTGTCTTTCTCCTTTTAGTTTTCTAGTAAAGATATTACCCATCCTTGGTTTTGGGTCTCCCAAGGGTATTCTCCATGGATCTTATGGGGAGTGGGGAAAACTCTGGTCCACTTCACAATGATTCATACATGTACTTTCTATGCAAATGTGTTATATAGCTTTGGAAGATAGTATACTAATGACAGAACTATTATAAACCCACAAATACTGCACAGGTGGTTGGGAAACATGAAAAACCTAAGATTTCACATTATTAACCATTGCTGAGATTTAATATACATTAATACTGTAAGTTTGGAAAGGAGTGGCCATTATGCACACAGTGAACAATCAAGCCTTATTCTGAACCATCTTGTTCTTGAAATCCCTCTACAGTACACAATGGACATTTGAATTACGTGAAACCTAAGTGAGTGTCTTCTAGAGAAACTGACACAGCTATAAAGCAAGAAGCAAAAGAAAAACAAAACTATATAAAAATATTTCTATCCTTTTGATTTTACCCACACTACTAATTCTAGGGTCCACCAATACAGGTTAGTATAACAACTCAAGATTCAGTTATTGCAATGTTCCACAAATGCATATTAAAAGCCATTTTGAAAATAGTTAAGATTAACATTTGGCCACCACACAGCAGGGAATTACACAGTCTTTCTGCCTCCCTGAGCACTCTGATTTGATGCCAAGTGACAAAACTAGGCTTTGGAGAGATGTGCCTCTCGCTCCACTCTACTAGCTACCACAGCCTTGACTGAATTCTACAGCTCACTGCATTTAGAATAATCACAATCACTGTGCCTTGGTGGAAGAGCAGAACTGTAGAAAAAGTTAAAGGGAAACCTGCCCAAAGTTTAAAATGGAGGGGAGGGGAATGGAAACTCTATGTGTGTGTTCGTGTGTATGTGCGTGTGTGAGAGAGAGCTAGACACAGCTGGCGTTCTCAGAATTACAAAAAGACATTTATAGTTTAAAGAACAAGCCATACAGCTAGGTTTTATGTACACACATATCATATGAGGTGTGTTGATTGCCCCTGTTTAAAACAATTATATAAAATTAAGAAATATAAAATAAAAAACTATTTAGAAAAAGAAGAATTCTTTTATTGTTTGAAGGGAGCATTTCAAAAAGATTCATATTTTATGTGAGATTGCTAAAGATGCTTCCATAGTATCATTGTGAAGACACAAGTCATGCTCCTATTATGACACCTTGGCGCAAGAATCAATTATAAACCATTTTAGCTACAGTGAGCTTAAGAAGATTACCTCTGTGGCACCCTGCCCAGCCATTACTAGCAATGCAATTTGTCCTAGCAAGAAAATGTAAAGAACAAAGCAAAAGATAATGACATCAAGTTTGTTTGACTGATTGTATTGTGTAGCAGGCTTCAAATACAGAAGAAATGAACTGTTTTGAGTACAGTATCTCCTTCCATATCACATACCTAGAAATTCCTGTAACAAACTAAAGGAAGACATTTTAGTTTTCTTCTTTCTTGGTGACGACTTAAGAGACATAATGTTGCAGAATCCTGGCAAAGCAAATCAGCTCACCTACCTTGGTCAAGTCTGCTAATAAGTGTTCGGCAAGCTGCCTCTGTCTCAGGACTTGGGTGGTCCAACACCTGTCTGCACCACTTCAAGGGAGATTCCTTTTCATTTGTTGATGACTTTCGGGGAGAGACATACAGCCTCAAGAAAAAGGATGGAAGGTTGAATATGCCAGTTTGCCAAATAAAATACAGTTCAACCCTATCTATCTTTACAGACTAAGTAAACTCTTTAAGTCCAACTACTAGTCCTGAAGCTGAGGCTCCAGTACTTTGGCCATCTCTTGAGAAGACTCCTTGGAAAAGACCTTGATGTTGGGAAAGTGTGAAGGCAAGAGGAGAAGGGGACGACAGAGGATGAGATGGTTGGACAGTGTCTGCGAAGCAACCAACATGAACTTGACACAACTACGGGAGGCAGTGGAAGATAGGAGGGCCTGGCGTGCTCTGGTCCATGGGGTCATGAAGAGTCGGACATGACTGAACGACTAAACGACGACTAGTCTCAATTAGAAGGAACCCAAAAACCTAATGAGTCTTATTTAAGTGCTGCCTTACTAAAGTCCCACCGATTCAATGAGTCTAACTCCAGCTGGAACTAAATGTTCAACTTGAACTCTGGGTATGTGTGTATGTATACACAAACAAACACCAAAAAAGCACAATACAGTAAGTATTACAGACGATGTAAAGCAAATGGACCTACTACACTTCAGTTCAGTACTATACTATTAACATAACAAATTTTGCAAATGGGGATGCGTGATTGCATTCAGCAGACAACAGTGCTAAAGTAAAGGAAGTGGTCTAGCAATTGCTTTGCTGCCTTAAGCAACTTGAGGGTAGAGCAGATAAGCCATGTAGATAATGCCTGAAATATATATCTCAGCGAAACACTAAAATAAAGTACTTAAAGATTACACAAATTAAACATTATTTATCATACATTTCTATTACAGTTAGAGAAAATACAAATCTACCATCAAAAGGAAGGAAATGAAAAAGAAGCATGAGAATTTCCAAATTTTGTTATTCACTTCTCCGAATACGGGCAAATCAAATGAAAAGAGAAAAATACTTTGTCCCAAATTCTGTTCCTTTGTGTAGTAAATCATACACTACAGCCGGCCCATTTGATCAATGGTGATTTAGTGAGTCAACTCCTCCATTGATTCAAATATACCTATTCAACTCCTCCATAAACTCCATTGATTCAAATATACCTATTTTAACTGCAACTTATTTCAGCATAGTAAGCCACAATTACAGTAGGTCTATTTGAATCAATGGAACTTACAGAGGAGCAGATTCAACCCCTATTGATTCAGTGAGCCTACTCTAGTGCAATTTAGTATTCTAGACAATAGGATTTTTGTCAACGTGTATTACCTTAAGATTTAAAAAAACCACAAAACCAAAACACATGTTAAAAAACGAAGGTAGTCCTTTATTATAATTTAAACAGGAAAATAATACTTTCATTATTTACTCAAGCACTACAAAATTTTACAATCTTTTAGTTCAAAAATGATTACTACTCCTTGTATACTAATACTGTATATGTATATATAATGGTTTAGTCCAGTTAACTGATATTCAAGAAACACATCCTGTCACACAGGATACTATCACAGTACCGTATGTCAGCTCCTGGCTTTGCCTTCAAGCCTAATTTCAATGTAGAAATTAACTCTCAGTCTCAGTTTCTAATCAGTATGTTTAAGTCTCACTTGTTCATTAACACCAGGACAAATTAAAAAAAATAATAAAAATGAATTACATTTTTAAAAACTGTATTTTTAATTAAAAAAATAAAAAAATATTTTTAATTTAAATCATCAAAAAATCCCATTTTAAAATTTAAATAGAGATTTAAATCAATTTGATTAAAGTCAGATCCACTCTGATGCACACAGAGACACACATAAACATCAAAACAGACCAGGAATTTTTGCTTGTGAAGAACACGAACTGTTAAGAACAACACACTCTAGCATGTAAGTGCCACATAAGCATTTACCGGAAACTGCTAGATGTGATATCCTTTCAAAAGAAAGTAACAACTGAAAAATGAAGATGTATCATAAACTAGCAGATAAGTAATATTGGTACACAACCAGTAGCTACAACTACTATGTTGAATCACTTGCATAGAAGTAATCACATACATCTTTAAGTAAGCTACTTCTCTTAAGATGAAAAAGTTCTTTACAAAATATATGCAGGCCAGTATCCTGTTCAATATTTATGCATGTGTGGAATTCCCACTGTAGAACCTCTCTCAATAATCTGACAAGGTGTCAGTTGTGCATGAGCTAGCAACTAGCACTACAACAAATTGCCGTGGCAGCTTTTGCTATTTGAGTTCCGTACAGCACTTCAAATACCTCTTCCACACAAAATTATAAATCCTAATGTCTCGACAGCTAATATAATCAATTCAGGAAAAACAAAATAAAAAATGAAGTTCACAGAGTCAGCCGCCTTTCTCTTACCTGACTTCAACCAATACAGTTATTTAAATAAAACAACTCATAGCTGAATGTCACAAGAACTAACAGCTTAAGAATATCTCATATATTATTTTATTATGTAAATCAGTACTTACACTAACACTTATGCATTAAATACTTCATCTGCAAGAGCAAGAACCTTGACAACAGCTCTCCATGAAATCTGGCAACCCCTTATGTGTAATGTGATCCTCATCCTCTGAACAGGATGTAGGCTCTTCATGCTTAGAAGATGAACACTTCTCCTTAATGTTGCCTCATTATGTCTGTCTTCTGAATGATTCAGAGACAAATCCAGTCCAACTCCTCCCTCACAATTAAATGCATGACCAATGTCCTGCCTATATCCCATCACACTAATGTGTTTACCTTTCCATCTCTAGAACTAGTTCAATGACAGCCCTAAGATCTATGTCTAAGAAAAGTTATTCTTCCATGGAAGAATTTGCTTTAACCTCTTGGGAAAAGCAATTCCTAACATAACTCCAATAAAAACTAAAAGTCAGTCCTCTCTATAAATTAAGGCTGGTATCCTAATGAATTTCCAGAGGATTCAAAGTCCGGCCAGTGTTGTAACAGAAGACTGTACTGCTTATGCAAGAGTTACTCCTATAAAAACTGAGGGTGGATTTTCTTCATGGAGATCACCATTAACACAACAGCAACACTCAAGTGGCATGATTCCACATCACTATGCTAGTAGGACCTTCAGAAGAAACTGAAAAAGATACTGGCCTGGAGCTGTATCTAATGCCCTCTTAACATGAATCATTTTGATTTACCCACTGAATCCAAAATTTCATGGTACATACCAGCTGTCTTCTTCATCACTGCCATTCTCAAGCTCCAATAGTTCCACTTCATCAAAAGCTGTCTCTTCCTCATCTGTTCTCTCTTTACTCATTTTCAGCAGTGGGTCAATATCCGCGGTGGCAAAGTCTTTCATTAGCACTGTGTTGCCATAATCCCAACTGGAGAAGTCACTGGTGTTAGCATCGTTGTTCTCCATTTCTGTGCTGCCCACAAACTCTTTGTTGGAAGGATATTTCTCAGAACCACTTCCACAGCTGTGCTGCACTGTGGTTTCTATATCCTTTTTCAAGAATTCACTGCTTTCTTCTGCTTCTGACCTCATTTTACTCAGTGCACAGTGCAGGTCTGCCACTATCTGCAATTCCTGCTTATCCATCAGTGTGTTGATGCTATTATTCATTTCCATCCCATTGAGCCTGGAATTGCAATTATCCACTCCAGCGCCAGCTTGGCTCAGCATTTTTGCCTCCGGCAGATTTCGAAGACTTCTAGTTCTCAACTGCTGATTCTGGAGCTCAAGCCTCCTCACAAGTTCCTGCAGTTTGCGGACCTCTTCCAGCTCAGGGCCCACTTGATCAGCCATTGGTTCTGCATCTGGACCCATCACTGAGTTCTCTGGTAAACCACGGCTCAGTTCAGTTCCAAGACTGTGATCTGACTGAATTATAGGGACACTCCCAGGAACAACCATCTTCATGGAATCACTGAGGAGGTTTGCTAGAGAAAAGTTTAAAGATGTATGTTAAATACAGGGAACACCCTGAAGCTGAATATACCAGCTCTCCTAAAAATTGGATCCTTCAGTCATACAAGAAAGGCAAACTGAAGGCAATTTATCTGCCAGCCTTTCTTAACCAGGACACAGTGACACGAATTACATGTTCACAGTATAAACAGTACTCATAAGCACAGCTAAGAGAACACAAGTAGTCCATATACCTCTAACAAGTATGTGCAAAGTAAGTGGTCTGTAATCTTCCTGACTCTGTGGGGACCCGTCCATATGGAATTAGTTCCCTGAGGTCCTAACAAGCTTTAGTTCCCTGAGGTCCTAACAAGAACCACAGATTACTTCTGCCTAAGTATCTTCCAGATAAAAGATTCAGAGGCAACAACTGAACTATCTCTCACACATAACTTAAAAGGCTTCTTCTAGCAAGCACATTTCTCACATTTCTCATGCACACTTCTGGTCACTGACAACATGATTTTATGAAATAATTAGTTCTGTCCCTAATATAAAGGGTCACTATCTGTCTTGTTAAAGGGCTAAAACATTAATAAACCAGATATACATGGTACAATAACTGAAACATTACCATTTTAATAGGATAATTTTCTCTTATGTAACTGACTGCTTAGATACGTCTGTTCACTCATTCTATTTCCTTCACACAACAAAAGGGGAAAAATCATATTGAACCTAGGAAAACTGGAGTGTGAATTGTCAGTTTCAGGCCATGAAAAATAAAGGGTATGTTATTACCTTCCTATCTGTTCACTTTAGAACTGCAGGACATTCCAGTCCTTCTTCAGGATTTGGTAAGAGGGGATCTACAACAAAATGAATCAAAGATAATTAGCAGGCTTGTTTCTAAAAACATACAAACAGCAAAACATGGGCTTCAACGTACATAGTATTTTATGTTTTTCGAAAAATATACACACATAACTTCTTGATTGATCTGAAGCTGCATTCTCATCTATAAGCAGACTATCGTGTTTCCCCGAAAATAAGACAGGGTCTTATATTCATTTTGACTCCAAAAACGCATTAGGGCTTATTTTCAGGGGATGTTTTATTTTTTCATGTACAACAATCTACATTTATTCAAATACAGATCATGTTATCTTCTTCTGGTTGCTGCACAAGGGTGGAGGGCAGAGTTTCACTTCACCGGGGCTTATTTTTGGGGTAGGGCTTATATTATAAACATCCTGAAAAATCATACTAGGGCTTATAGGTTAGGTCTTATTTTCAGGGAAACAGAGTAGTTATGTTGACACAGAGAAGGGTGTGTACATAACTTCTGTCAATTGACTTTAAACAAAGTACACAAGCCTACAGACCCACATAAAAACAGAGTGATGCCAACAGGCATGCACTCAATCTTTAATTACAGTCATCCCAATTACATATGTTGTGCACCAAAAATGCAGGAATGAGGAAACACAAAGGGACCACACAAGCTTCTATTTCCCCCCCCATCATCATCATCATCATCATCATCATCATTCTAAATGGACCTTGCACTAGTAAGGCTGCTATTAATTTAGAACAAGTTTTCAAATGTTTTTCTGCTCAGACTTAAAAGTCTTGAACCAATGCGTGTTTCTAAAAGTATTAGGAAGCCAACAGATATTCCCAAACATGTTAGTGAGTTCCTAAAACTACACAAGTGCTCAATGTTATTTCAAATTAAGTTCTTCATGAGAAGGAAGAAGACTGCCTCTTATTCTAAATCTGGAACTACTAGAGTGGAATTGAATTTACTGTAAAATAAGCAGCATTACAAGTAAAACCAGGCAATTTTAGTTCAGAAAGCAAAACAGGAGATTGCAGAACACCTACAGGTGAATGCTGATACACACTTATGAATATCTTTATTTTTATGATTGGAACAGACATTCTAATCTAGTACCTAGTCACCAAGACATTATTGTCAGAAGAGATTTCACTTATCACCAGAAAGCTGTAAAACAGAAACACTCCACAAAGAATCACACCCATAATGAATGCAAGACAATATCAAGGGCTATAGAGAAGATGACCATTATTTCTGTTTTTCAGCAAAATGTTGAAATATATATATTTTTACACCCCTTGCTAGACAGAGATGAAGCTGCTGTTCTTACCCATCTTTCAAGAAGAAGAAAACCTGTTTTCTTCCCCTGAAACAAAGTATTAAAGCTCATCAAGCCACTTATTAAGAAACTCAGTGTTCTCACATAACTTTGAATCTTTTCCTCTTTTTTTTGTCTTGAGACAAAACCAGATGCAGCCTGATGACCGTGTAATATATTAAGGAACATCAAACGGGGAGGTTTACTGTTCATCTACTTTTTTTCCAACTGAATGTCCGAGACCTGACAAAATAAAGATCCTACTGAAGCATCACAATTTACTCCCGCTCCTATCTCTACTCCTATTTCAACGAGATGGCTTCAACTGAGCAAAGCACTCCCGACCACTTCTATACCAGGACCAGCTCCAGCAACCCGGGGGGGGGGGTTATTCTTAGAAGAATCGTTATCTTACCAGCCCATTTGCCAAGAAGCAGCAAAACAGCAACCGCAGGAGCAGCAGCCTGGTCAGGATAGGTGAGCTCACAAATCCATGGAGTTGTTTCATGGGGCTCAAGAAGAATCAACACAGACAGCAGCCTCCTTAAGTAAAATATATATATAATTTTTAATTTTTAATGACATCTTATTCCAGGAAGCAGGATCAGGACGAACAACCCAAGTAGTTCAGGTCTAAGTTAGCCTCCATTTCTTGAGATGGGGAGATTGGGAATTTGCCCACTGGCCATCCCAGGATTTAAGAAAGACATTGGGGGGGGGCAATCATCACCCCCCAGAGGACACACCTGCAAGCAGTGAAATGGGGGCGTGTCGGGTCTTCTCAGGCGAAAAAGAAGGGGCAGGTAAAAGGTGGGAAGATGAAGAGACCCCCCAGGATGCCTCTTCCTCCTCCCTTCAGAGCAATGAAAAGGATGGCCTTCTGAGGAGAAAGGGGGGGGGGACACTGAGGCAGAAACGCACACACACATCAAAAGGAGGGAGGCTCCAACGGCGATATAAAGAGGGTTCCTCTGAGAGGGAAAATAAGGATAAAAACCGAGGTCGCCAAGCCAAGCCGAGGGAGGCTTTCTGTCGCCGGGCTTTGTCCCCCTCCCCGAAGGGAAAGGAGGCACGGACCCGTGAGGGAAGGGGGGCTGCTGAGGGAAGGGAAGGCTCTCTCTCCCCCCCACACACACACACAAACCCCCGAGCCTGGTCGCGGGGCCTCCTCCTCCCCTGGTCCAAGGCGGAGAGAAGCCCGCTTCTTCCTCTTGACAAGTGAGGGGATATTGGGGAGCGGGGGGGGTCGAGGAGGAGAGGCTTAAGGCCTCCCAAGGCAGGGAGAAGGTGGGGAAGGCGTCTCGGAGAAGAGAGAGAGGAGAGGG